CCGGGACCAACTCCTTGATTATATGCCCAAGAGCAGAGAAATGTAACTAAATCTATAACTCAATATTTTCCATAATATTCGAAATTAAATACACGAATTAGAATAGATAGGATCCTAATATCCAATATTTAAGACACAATTAACATTTTTATACGCCCACATTTTCATGTGGACGTATATTGTCGTCGCCCCTGTCTGTCCGTACGTCCGTCCGTCCACAATTTGTTTGTGGACACTCTACAGGTCACAATTCTTATCAGATTTTGACGAAACTTGAAATATAGGTTTATCTTTAAAAGATCTCGGCTGCTTTCGATATTGACATCTATCAGATCGAAACTTCATGGATTATGGCCCCTGTTTGTACGAAAAATCACGTTTTTAGCTTGTGGACCCTATAGAGGTCACAATTTTTATCTGATTTTGTTGAAACTTGAAACGTAAGTTTATAACCCAAAGATCTCGGTTCCTGTCGATATTCGCGCATATCGGACCGTAACTTCCTAAATTATGGCCCCTGATTGTACGAAAAATCGCGTACCCTAAGGACGACTGAGTTCGCATTTCGTGAAAATCGGCCCAAAATTGACAGACAAAATGGCCACCGTTCGTTCTCAAATAGCGTAAAAATATGGTATATATATATAATCAAGGTTGTGGACCCTATAGAGGTCACAATTTTTCATCCGATTTTGTTGAAACTTGAAATATAAGTTCATAACCCAAAGATCTCGGTTCCTTTCGATATTCGCGCATATCATAATTTTTATCCGATTTAAAAAAAATCTGTATTATTATATCACCGTTACACCCTAAGGACGGCTGAGTTCGAATTTCGTGAAAATTGGTCCAAAACTGACAGACAAAATGTCGTTCTCAAATAGCGTAAAAATATGGTATATCAAGGTTGTGGACCCTATAGAGGTCACAATTTTTATCCGATTTTGTTGAAACTTGAAATGTAAGTTTATAACACAAAGATCTCGGTTCCATGCGATATTTGCGCATATCGAATTGTAATTTCCTGAATTATGGCCCTTGATTGTAGGAAAAATCACTTTCTTTTTAGCTTGTTCTCTATCCATCTCTCGAAAATGTGGGCGTATTCAGCCTGGCAGCCGTTGGTTATAATAAGTACACGATTAGAGTACCCTGTGGTTTCTCGTGTCATTTTGTAATGCATAAATAAAAATATATCATGCAAGACAATGTGGAAGTAATTAGTAAAGGCTGATTCACAAACGAGAAAATGATAATAAAACGCCCACATTTTGCAAGAGATGAACAGAGAACAATCAATCATGGGCCATAATTCAGGCATTTTAAATAGAAGGCTTGATCTCGCTTTAACTACGTACATCTTATCAAGGCCTCCACGTAATACCCTGCATATTTCGGCAGTAATTTCGACTACGTATTCACTCAGCTTGTGAGCCTATCAGATTCCTCGATCATCGCGAATACCAAGTCTCGCGCTTTCCAGCTAAAATGTTTTCCTGTGATAATCGAGTTGCAAAGTTGAAGGTTCGTCAATGTCAAGGTTTCCGTGGAGGTCGCTATGTTACAACCTCTGATTGGACGCTACTGTTCACGTGCCTGCAGATAACGTAGATATAAGTTCGGGAATTGTAAAGTAATCTAGCAACGCCCAGTTGTTGTAAAACTCGCAGTCGTTGCTTCAGGAATATGTAATTCAGGATGCGACGATCCGGCATATGTCAAAATCGAAAGGATGTTTGCACAATAAACATATATTTTAAGTTTCATCAAAATCGAATTAAAATTGTGAACTCAAGAGGGTCCACAACCTTAGTATTACATGCTTATTATACTATTTCCATTAGGATGGAACGGTGGTATAGTTAAACGGGTTTTAAAATCGGATATGAATTGTGACCTCTAGAAGGTCCAGACGTGATATGCGCGAACATAGAAAGGAACCAAGATATTTTGGATATAAATATATATTTTATGTTTCATCAAAGTCGTCGGATAAAAAAAATGTGATCTCTATAGGGTCCACAACTTGGTATTACATGCTTTTACGCTATGGGCAGTTTTGGTCCGATGTTCACGAAATTCGAACTCAGACATCATTAGGGTGTCACGGAGATATCAACGGTTTTTATAATCGATAAAAAAAACTGAGAACTCTTAGAGGGGCCACAAGCTAAAACGCTATTTTTCCTATAACCAGTGGCCATAATCCAAGAAGTTACGGACCGATGTGCTCGAATATCAAAAAGAACCGAGATCTTTGGGTTTTACACATAGACTAAGTTTCATCAAAATTGGATAAAAATTCTGACCAGAGTATCCACATGCTAAAATGTGATTGTTCGTACAATCAGGAGCCACATGATGTTACGGTCTGATACATGCCAATATCGAAAGGAACCTAGATTTTTGGAAGATAAACCTATATTTCAAGTTTCGTCACAGTCGAATAAACATTGTGACTTGTAGATTGTCAATAAACAAATCGTGAACGAACAGGGGCGACGACAATCTATTCCACTTGAAATATTGGCATATCAAAACGTGCATAATAAACTTAACAGGCGTGAACGACTGACGTTCAATTTGAACTATTCATGTAGTTTACCGAACATAATTGATTAGAAATTACAAATTTCTTTTTCAAAAATTGAATTTAGACCACTTTACATACATTCATATTACATTAATATGAGCTTTTAAAGCCATTTTCGTTCATTTCAGGGTTAAAAAAAAATAGAGCCATACGCCCTTTAAATATGTTCAATCAAATTAAATAAACTTTTATCAAAAATTAAATATAAACCAGCCACAGTTTTTATATTAAGTTGGGAGCCACAAATCAAATCTGGAATAAAAGATTTCATCTACTTTCTTATTGGTTTTCTACTCTGGTCTCGCTTATTAGGAAACACGGATGCACATTCACGACAGTTTGTGGGGCTGTAGGGCGACTTGAACAACGTAATTTAAATTCTCATCATTAATCGGATTCCCCCTTGCCCGACACTGGTAAATTATACAGCCTGTCACCGATGTTTCGTGGGCTATATGTGCACGGCAGACAATAAGTCGTCCACAAACCGAACGGGTTGCTAAATATATTTCCAAATACACTCTGTGATAGTGTAGTTGAATTGTTTAAGCCATCTGCCTTAACTTCAAACTACTAAAGAGTAAAGCTGTTATTCTATTGTTAATTACCAAACTGTGGACATCATGTTATCACAAAATAAGTTTTGTTAGTGGCATCCTATGGTTCTTTAATTTCAACCATTAAGTACTTTCGGATACTCTTATTTCGTTTAATAGGGTATGTAATCTCAGAAACAGCGGTGAAGTGGACATATTTAGTGATTTCTGAAGGTTCAAGTATGTGGACAGACGGCGAACCCCACGCAGAGTATTAACATATGCACCGATTGGCAAATTTCTTGTCAAAAGTATTATTCAGAGCCGAGGTCTATGTTTGACTAGAGTAATATACAGATTAACCTTAAAGCATACGAAAGCACCTCAATAGAGAATTACACAAGTACTGAACGTAATGAATTTTACATGTAAAGACAAATCCGTGTCAACGATTCCATGGCACAAAAGTAAACGGGAGTAGATAATTAGTAACTGTCTTCCTAAATTAGAAATACGGGTACCTAATAATGGGTTAGTATCGGGTGTACATGAAAGAAGTAATAACTATAAAATCATTTATCTCAATTTCTAGGTGGTCACAATAAAATCACTTGAATGCACATCAAGCTTAGACGGTTCAGCCGAAAAATTTATACTCCATTTATGAAATAAAGAGGTATTTAATAATCGACGAATTAAAATCACGATTGCCATCATAGAACTCAATATTACAACGCTTTGTTGTCGTTATCAGAAGTTTCTTTAATCTTCAACTCATCCAGGTAGATGAAACCAGATAATCATTATATTTACCATTAGTCAAATTTATGGTGTAATCAATATATATCCGGAAATATTAGCACATCCCTATAGCTGTCCTGATTTGTTCCACAGTAAACGATGAAAGATGAAAGGTATGCTGACACTGGGATACTAACATTTTTATAAAGGATTAAAGTAAATTTCTACCGTGGGGGGGGGGGGGCACGGTGAGTAATACGCTGGATTACTGACCAGAAGGTCCGGGGTTCGATCTGAAAATGTTCCTGGTGATTTTTCACCTTGGTTTCAATATGTCAATGATGTAGGAAGAGGGGCGAGCTGGCATGGAACAATGGCTAGTCATTCGAGTGTTTCTACCAGGTACACTAATGGGTACAAAATATACACCCTGATATGCTGTTCCATCTTTGAGTATCTTGAATATAAAATAGTTTAACATAAACACTCGTCTATCTTTGCAAGATATCTGGAAGAGATTTCTGGACGATTTTTTTTTTTTTTTTTTTTTTTTTTTTGATTACACAACCATGAGTAACTTATAATTTTTAGTGACCTTTTTAACAGTAAAAACCCAAAAATACAATTCACAATGGAATCAAATCCAATTTGCCAATATAATTGTTATGAAAGAGAGAACCAAGATAAAGTTTTTCGGCAAAAATGTAGGTACTGGGCAGTATTTACGCTACCATTCGAGTCATATCAAGCAAGCTTTGTCGCATAATCTTGCTAGCTGCATATGAACAGTCGTGTTGAAAGGGTCACAAGAATTCAAAGATTAACCCTAAACATCCAATATTTTAATCCATGACATGATGGGATGACATTTAATCCCCACCCATCCCCACCGTCTTACAAGCCGTAAAACCGAGAACAAAATGAGAAAGGCGTCGCTTATGTTTGAATTCATAATCCATTTAATCTCACTATAGCACCACACTAGTTGCAAAGAAGAGAGGAAATGACTAAAATACTCCCAAAAAAAAATGGAGGAACAGTGTCACAAAATTCGACCTTTGGTTCTTTTTGGGGCGGATTGACAGTCATGTACTTATAGTTCACATTAACAAAACCACAGTATAATTTAAATATCTTTATATAACTACAATATATCAATACAATTATAATGTATATATATATTTATGTAATTATTCTCCAATAAGTTCACGTAATCGATATCACTGATTCAAAATACCACTAATCACATTTATATGTTGAGATGACGATGAATTGGTGGCACACGCGCACACATTAAGATGATTAAGATGATAAGGTTGATGAGTTATTCATGTAGATCTTTTAATCACTATAAAAATAACGAACTGGAACAATAACGACCAGAGTAACAATATAGGTAACACTATCCGTAGCACATTAACATTATCAGAATCAGAATACCTATAAAACATAACACAATGTTTAACAAATAATCAAATTATTTCTATACATCCACGATTATCAAATCAAACAATACTGACAAGTAAATGTACTAATTCTTACTCATTAATCACATAGATTACCATTATAACGACACACAGTCAAAACCCAACGAGACACACAGTCTAACACCCATTTAGTTGAAATATATTTACGAAAGATTCATGAATGATATGATCAATGAATACGTGTGATTCTCCCAAAATCCATTATTAGAGTGACAATATAAATTCATATCTCCCACCACGTAAACTACAGTTTCACTCACAACCAATCAAACCACGACAACAAAACAGGCAGTTCACATGCATTCAATGCAATCATACCTGCAACCAGACATGTGAATTACTCAACCTTGGCAAATATTAACTATCATACATCTTACAAATAACAATAAAATCAAATGTTTATAAATCAAACTGTATTACCACAATCTGAAAACATGTTCACCAGTTGTCATAAACTGTAATAAACAACAATAACATATATACTATATTTATTAATGTACAAATACTTGTGACCTTGAAACATTCAGCAATACCAGCGTGAATATATATCTATTATTCAGTACATCCACGGCAAACCATATTGAAAACTATCCTTATCTAATAAAGATATGGTCATATGTTCGGAAGATTTGAGGACTTAAAAATACATTATGCCTATTGCAGGTCTTTCATTAATTAACTTATCCAGACCATAATCAACTCTCGATGTCATCGCTAGCCTGCGTTGGATTAGGTTCCGATTTGTTGTTCGACTTCCATTCATGATTTAATAATATAAAAAATGGATAATCGAGACTATGGGGTTTTTATCGTACGACATTAGTAATGATGATCGAGGTTAGGCCGAAAATTCAATCGCTAAAATCTCGGTTCAGAGGGGATCAATTTGACTGAAATTTTCAGCAAATTCCCTTATCTAGTTTTGAACTATTATCGTTAGAACTGCCAGCTCTGTATCTAATCTCCCATAATGTATCTTTAAATGATTTTTCTAGCGGACAATTTATACCATTTTCCGTTTTATAATCTAAAGCAAAAGACTATGTAAATTATGTTATCTACCTTTAATGTTATTGGATTGCAAACTTACACAAAACTCCGTTTATTTGTTGTCTATTTGTACACTCCATTGAAATATAGTGTACCTTCTATTTCAATCGTTTTCTGTCTCAGTACCATGTATAAGCTACGTGTCAAACTGTAACTCAAAACAGAGGGGCCTTCGTTTAACAAATGAACAGTTACTGCAAATTTAAAAAAAAAAAAACAGTTTGTATGTGATGGACAGAGAACAAACCAAAAAAGGCGATTTTTAGTAAAATCAGGGGCCATATTCCAAGGAACCCAGACCTTTGGGATATAAATATGTATATAGTTTCATCAAAATCGGATAAAAATTGTGACTTCTAGAAAGTACACAACCTTGGCATTACATACTTTTACACTATTTGCGTACGTGGAGCCTTAATCCATAAATAAGGGTCCGATAGGTGCCAAATTCTGTGGGGTATATAAACCTTCATTTCAAGTTTCGTCAAAATCGGATAAAAATTGTGACCTGTGAAAGCTATTATGTACCCGCGCATGGGTTTGCTTTTGTTCATAAAGCCGTGGGCTTACAACTTGACAACAGGGTGCGGTATACATTTTGTGTGATTCTATTGAACCCCTTATATAAAAAAAACTATATAGCAGAGGTTGCCATGACCAATAGTTGGTTCAAAGGATATTTGGACAATTCGGGTCTTATTAATAACAAAGATAAAGTAATTTATCTTTTTATGTGGGCGATTACAGAATGGCATCATTCGCTATTTGTCTTGTTAATGGAGTTCAAATTACGTGGATGAAACTTAAGTGTTCTTCAATCATTATTTGATGAGCTCTAATTTCTGTAGTTTGTCAGAATCACTTCTTTGGTTTCGTTTCAAGATGCCTTACAAATGACAACCACTCTGTCAACTAAGAAAACATCTCTATAGGTTTTGATAAATTATCTCTAATGTGAAGTCATGTAACTTATCTAAACATTGGAAACCAGAAAGAAGACGAATTAGTTTAATCTTTTTACATTTATAGAATCCCGACGGTTTCGGCATATTCTGGAACATCATTAATTTCAGAGAATTCGTGATCTCTGCTACAATTAATCAGATATGTTTAAAAAACACAACACAATTTATATGGAATACTTGTCGAAACGTCGTGCTATATGTGTATAAACCAGTGATTGTTTTACATAATTGTGTTGTGTTTTTTAATGTGCTCAATCACTAAATGTCACTCAAGGATCATATATGTTTAGGTTAACAAACAAGTAATATGTTAGTCTATATGTAGATGGTAGTCATGGCAAATCAAATGCATATTTAATACGTACGTCTGCCATTTTTTTCACATTTTAAATTCCACTGACCCCGTGGTACAGTATAAAAATATATAAACCGAAAAGTAATTGATATTTGATTTTAATTGCAATGTCAGGGTACCTTTAGCGTGCATGACAGCGCACACACGGGTCGACCCAGGATTTGATCACATCGGTACAAGACAAAAACAATATAACGATTTAATCAAGTAGACTGAGTTCTTAAACATCTGGATAGTTTTGGGGGGTGCAGGGGTGCACTATTCACGCCATTTCTCGAAACACCATCAGGTTGGCTGAAACTGAATAAACATAAAAGAAGTTAGAAACAATAAATACAAAATATTTAATAATTTAGCCAGGTAGTGTACCGAATCATTCAATATTCACCAAAGGGGCAACCCACAATATGATTTATAGGGGCCACACACTAATAATGTAAACCCAGCATGAAACCCAATTCATAATGGATATTAACAAATGCAAGTGATATCTCGACACCAAATTATGAAAAGTAACTATTTAAGTCCACTGATTAAACGATTCTATCTATGACCCCGTTCTATTTAACTGTGCCATTTTCATTGTAAACATCTTAAGCGCTTTATTGCATTCACATATTCTACTTTAAGCCTAAAATAGGTCTGTCATACAGCTGATATTTAAGTAAGATCTTAATACCAGATAAGATAGTAAAATCTATTATCGATAGTTATTATGATTAAAATATATGTACATGAAGCCATATTATAATATTGTTTAATTGTATAGGATGCCAGTTAAAGTGACACAGAATAGTGGCTTGTACCCAATTTTCCTAAATAGAAAATAATGGTATAGAAAATCGGGATGAATGAAGTTTGCTTTAATTTTGATTGAAAAATGTTCCATAGGAATAATTAGATCATCGAAACATATTTTTGTCTGAAAATAATATATTTGTTGTGACCAGGAAAATCAAATTAAAGAATATTACAGACGTCCCTTGATATCGCAGCGCGTGATTCTCTCGTGTTGCAAGAGTACTATATAATGATGCCTGCAAGTGTGTAGGCTTTCCAGAATGAAGCATTCTTTTGGGAAACAAATATATTTTTCGTAGATTTGGACATGTATTTAAGTAGATGGAAATGAATTTAGAATCGCCATTTACGTAGCTTTAGCTCAATCTGTATGTAGATTGGTCCAGTCCCTCGATACAGAGTCTGGCAAGAAACGTTTTGAACTCGTGAATTCGTCTGGAGACATCGTAAAACCAATACCTGAAAGGGGTAATTTTGTTATAGAATTCGTTCTTTAGTGGGGGTGATATCGCAGATAAAGGTTTCGGTATATTAACAACGCAGCGAACAACTTGTCGATTTCAGGTATAACGGTGATACATCTAAGGGCATTGAATATCTGTGTTATACCTCGTTCTGTATCACCCTTATGCTTGAAATCGACAAGGGAATTGAATATCTTGTCTACGATATCACCCTTAGTGGAAGTGGACGTAAAACTCCAGGAACGAACAAACATACGAACGAACGCATTGAAAATCAGAATAATTGACACCGCTTAAATAAATTTATATTAAGGGTCCCCAGTACGCTTAATTGATTTTTATAACCACCCATTTCCATTCCTCGAATAAGAATTCATCGGGATTAAATTATATATTAGGCCTACTCAGGATATAAATTCATCCTTAGAAGTCGATATCACGGAAAAGTGGGATAAAATATGTATGTGTCAATTGGAAACCGCAATAATGTCTACACAATTACCATGAAAAAAAAATATAATTAACTCATCTTGAATTTCGGTACTTACACAATTTTGATCATGCGCAATCTTATTAGTACTATATTACAATAAATGGGAACCAGATTTCTATAATCTATCCAATTAATCATAGTATCTTTTCTTCTTAGTAAATTAATACGAAATCCTCTTAAATCTGAACATATGACATTTTAAATTATAAAACTTTACGAAAAACGAAAGGATAAAAGAGAAACCTTTTGAATTCAACCTGGGCCATTTTTGATTCTAATCTGTTTTATTTATTTATCACCGCTGGAAGATTTCTGGGGGAACTTGCCGTGTAACGAAAAAAAAAGCTCTTTCATTTCATTTTCCATTCTTATTCAAAGAGACTCGCCATTGAATAAACTACGTGTATTATAAATGTACATTTTAGACCATCTACATGGCAAGTATCGGAGAGAATATTTACTATTGGAAATTTGAATATTGATTATCGTGAAAGCTTAGGACTATGGCTAGATGAGCATCTGAATTTTAATTTGTGTGTTAATGAGCTATCAAAGTCAGCAAACAGAGCTCTGGCGGCCCTTTGTTCAAAACACTTCCAGACAGGAGGATTCCCATATAACATATTCACTAGGCTCTATGCGTCTTTGGTTCAACCCATCATCCTCTATGGGGCGGGAAATTGGGGCATTACTGAGCACCATAAATTGAACAGTGTCCAAAATCGAGCATGTAAATTTTTCTTTGGTTTAAAACGGAACAGCCCAAACTTAGCAGCTAGAGGGGATATGGGATGGACTTCATGTCTCACGAAACAGAGAACAGAAGTACTGAGATTATTTTTTTGTTTAAAAAGTCTACCTAGTAGCAGATTACCTGTTATAATTAGTAATTGGTCACTCAGACGAGCTAAATCTTGGGAAAAGAACGTACACGCCCTGGTAAAAAATCTTAGAATAAGTCATATATGTGATGTCGAATCTATAAACAAGTCTCATTTAAAAGCTTTAAAGCGTCATTTATTCCAAAATGACGAGACTAAATGGTTCCAAGAGTTATGGAATGACAGTAAAAACCCTAATGGCAACTAATTGAGAACCTATCGTTTGTTTAAAAAGGATTTGAAACCCGAACCTTATGTTTTAGTTAACAATTTTCCACGCCATATACGTAAAGCTACGTCATTAATACGCATCGGTAGCTCTGATCTAATGACCGAAACACTGAGATACAGTCACCCCCCCCCCCCAACCCGCATTCATTTGTCGATTATGTCCCTTCTGCTCAGAAATTGAGACAGAATCCCATTTTTTAATTGAATGCAAAATGTACTCCGACCTTTTAGAGAAATGCATAAGATATACGCAAATTTCTATAAAATGTCTATCAAAGAGAAAGTAATAAGTATTTTTTCTAGTGATATCAACCCCAGTATGATATGCAATTTTATATTTGATATGTTTCAAAGGAGAGCCCGTTTTTTAAAAGATATGTAATATTATTCTATAACAGGATATTTTATTTAATATAAATCTGTATTTTAGAAAAATTATGTATATACATATAAATATATATATATATATATACATATATATATATATATATATATATATATATATATATATATATATATATATATATATATATATATATATGTCCAGTGTCCCATAGGCCGTCATGGCCGGGCGATGTTCTTATTTAATTAAGTTTTTAACTGGATTATGATATGTGTTAATAAATCTACGCTATTGAAATAATAATTATTATTTACGTTTTTTTGGCCAAAATTAGATTTCAAGATAATTTCACTTTGTAAATTCTGAGACAATTATATATTTTAGCGCAGAATAAAAAAAACACGCGGAGAATAAAGTAATCTCGAAGATCAAGTCGTATTATTCATATTTTTTGGCGTTCGCCATTCGACCTTTTTGGGAGAATCACAGACACCGGTTTCAGCGTTCAGAAAAGAATAGTGTCTCCTCTTGTATAATACTGTCGTTCATCGTACTCTGTAGCTCAATTTCACTAAGTGCTTTTAACATGGCTTCATTTTTCTTGCAGTACCAGTCCTTCATTTCTATTTCTTCCTCCATTTACCGACATGACGTTGTCATAAACTTCCAGATGACAAGAAGTTGTACTGTAAACTGACAGAAATAGAGATTTCCTTTCTCTGTTGTCAGTTGACACGAATATTTCTACTGGTATGCCATTGCCTTCGTAACATAGAGTCGCCGACATAACAGATAAATATTAAGATACTCTGTTATCTCTTGGGATTTCGTAACACATCAATATTCAGCTTCTAAATTATCTCAATTTATCACCATTAATCAAATGCCGAGAAAAAAATAAATAATTCATCTGTCCATAAATTACATTACCGTGGTGAACAACAGGGAATCATTTAAATAACAGCACTGGATGTTTATTTTAAAACATGATGTTGGAGTTTTGTGTTGTTTATGTATAAAGAATAATTAATTATGTTGCTACTTAAAATATTGTATCTTCTATTTTTATGTCATCAAAGATTTATTTACGGATGTTTTTGTTTTTTGAAGTACAATACAATAATATTATTTTCGGGCTTTATGTTCGGTTTTTTAAACAACTTGGTGAGTTGACATTACTAAAAACATGTTAGTTTGCTCCAAAATGTCCGCCCTAATCAAAATATTGACAGCCGGATCAACAATGAATGAAGCACACAGTAGCTCTAATGAGGTAATGAAAGTATTAATTAACTTGAGACACCTGTATAATTTTGATTGGCCTTGGTATCATTTCAGGGCTTAAAATAGTTTAACATCATAATTATGGGGCATCTACACGCCAACCAGCGGGGGCGTGTACATTGTAGATACTTTTTCGAGTGCTAAACTACGTCCGCATCTAAATTCTAACCATCACACCAAAGCCGTCCACGCATGGTTATCCTATCTAGAAGGCATTTACTACTCATTAAGAAAAAAGTTGGCATGTCTAACCATGGTCTTTAAAGTAGTTTAGTCTCTAACTCAATATCATCCAAAGTCTTACACGCTGGAAATACGAATTATTTGTCAACTTAAATCAACATTAATGTTGTGATCTTACCAAGAAAAGGTAGGCTTCTGATATCCAATATTTAAGACAAAATAAACATTTTACCATTTTAGAGCGTTTCAGCGTCATTTGTAACAAGTGACCAGAAAGAACGAGGCTAGACATATTCCACAACTCATGTCAAACGGTGACGCCATATATTATCTGGAGAGCATGCGCAATAGATTGGAATAACCAGACGCTAGAAATTGCTGTTCGGTTGAGACTCATGCCGTATTTCGCTGGACACAACTGATTTGAAATTAGAGTCAAAACGGAAACAATTGAATGAAAATCAGTTTATATACAATCCGATTACATTATTATATGCGTTGCGACCCATTTGGGTCAATTTCTAGGTCCCAAATATTAGCGATTTAGCTCCTTTAAGTACAACTACAGTACAGCCCAAAACAGCCAAATATGGTCGAGGTACTGAATCGTCGACAATATT